TCCCAACAAACCATTACAATTGTACATAGGGAATTTATCCCCATGAATGATAAGGGAGGTATGGCCGACTAAAATGGACTATTGGGATGGTATTACGAGTGCTTTGTTGGGATCTGCTAGCAACAAAAACTGTCCCAATATGATTCCAAGATCTGTATCTATACATCATAGACATAGTATATCCCAATCTTATGATGAGATGTGTAGATATATACAAATCATGTTCGAGCTGTATTGGGACAATTTTTATTGTAACCAGACCCCAACTTATTAATAAAGGATCCAATAAGCCCGAAGGTGGATTAGATATGCTACCAACACAACAAAACGTTCTTGACAAGTTGGCATTGTCCCAATAGGCCACTGCAACCCTACATTTGGCAACATCTCCCTTGTCATTCATGGGAGATATTCCTTATGTACACGTATAATGGCTTCTTGGGATAGTGTTGGGAGTATTTGTTACAACATACAACAGATCTGAACTCACAGCAAACCATAAATTTCCATAAAATTGAACCATGTAAGTCCCAACAAAAGTTCTCCAATTCCAAAATTTTCCAAAGGAACCATCTTAGTCTTAGGGTGTAGGGATAGTGACCGTGGATCAGCGCCCTTCTTAATTTGTCATCACCTGCACTGTTTGTCAGACTCATGGACCTACTGACGGATAAGCCTCTCCTATCTAATTCAGAATTCAGATTAGGTGAAGCATTGGCTGTACAACTGGCTGTAAAACCAACAAGTGATTAAATACATATGGGACCCCAATAAGAGGTGTTGAATCATGAATGGTTGTGACATGTATTAAAAGACTGGTGTGAGACATTATAATTGATCCCACAATTTCTGTATGACATAAAACACCTCTTACAGACATAATCTTGAAGAATCATCATTGTCTCCCACTCTTCATTGCTTTTTTTTTTTTAGTTTTTTATTTTCTTCCTCTCTTTCTTAGCTTTTAACTTATATAAATAGATACAATACAGGGCTAGAAGCATAAACCAAACCTAATTTCCTAATTTGTGATGTACACCCCAACTTGACAAGTGACAACTTCTTCATCTTCGATCTTGACAGTCTAACCGTCAAACCTTCAATTTGGACAAAAAGTCTAAATTAGGTTTTAAAACATAAAAAAAAAATAGTTGCAATTTAAAAAAAAAAATTAATTGCAATTAGACCTGTTTATGAATTGGGTTTGAGATTGGCTTTTGCCAAAATTTGAATAAACTCGGACTTCGGATCGAGTTCAAGTCAAGCCTGAAACCTGTCAAATAAGTCTAATTGCAATTCAGCTTTGCTCCCATTGGACATTGTGGCAAGGTAGTAGAGGGGATTCATATATAGGCTTAGAGGAGAGTAAAGAGGAATGATGCCAAATGACTACCTAGACTACATGGTCATTGGCCTATATATATATATATATATATATATTATGTTATCAATTAAAAGACAAAGTGTTAGGCAAGTCAGTTCATTATTCAACAAACCAAATTTGGGTCATTACTTTGGCATATTAAATTAACTTTTAACCCTATTCATTTGTGGTTATATTTATTTTAGGCATGATCACTTCATGTAATCTTGTCGGTGAATGGAATTTTGTCCAAAGGCTTAAAAGATCAGGTAGACATAGGGGTTTCGATTGGATTAGATTTGGTCCAATCCGATCTAGTCCAATGTGAGCCCATTACAAATGGACTAGGTCCAATCCAATTTAATGAATAATCTGGATCATTTTGGATTGGTCCAATTTAATGTTCGGACCATCCAATTTGTTCAAATTCATTTTAATTTAAATTGGTTTCAACTCAAACTTGGTCCATTGACACTTATATTCTTATCTTATATCAATGGACTGGATATTGGCTTAATCCAACCAAATCCAGTATAAAATTATTACGTATGGATCAGGTCCAATCCACTATGTCTTTTTGGTCCATCCAATCAGTCCAAATTGATTTTGGCCGGTCCATTGACACTCTTAGGTAGACGCATACTATGAGCATGATGAGTAAATAGGAAGTGTTTTTTGACACCTGCCCCTTAAAATACCCCCACCCCCAGCCTAACCTTGGAAAAGATTAAAATCAACTTCTGATAGAGGTGTAGAATATCTCATTCACTATGCTTACAATACTGTTCCTATTATAAATGGACTTAAGGCTCAGTTTGGAAAGAGTACAAATACAAATCTGTACAGTATAAATACATACAAAATAATATAAAATACAAGATTTTACACTCTACATATTTGTATTTATACTCCTACCAAATTGAGCCTAATACATATTTGTATTTGTCCTCAATTTGAAAAGAGTACAAATACAAATATATATAAAATATTGCAAAATACATCGTTTTGCACTCTACATATTTATATTTTATTTGTATTTATACTCCTTGAAAACTGAGCCTGAAGGACATAAATATTCAACATCTATTCCTGTTGCCACTTGCCACCAGGGTTGGAGGATTTAAGGGGACGGGGATCCCACGGTTGTCTAGCTCACCATCAAATTGCATGGAACCAAGAGAGAGAAGAAACACCACCACCAATAGATATTATTATTAATATCTGGTAACTGCCCACTTCTGCTTTGCACAATTTAGAGGATAAAAAGAAAAAGAGTGGATTTGCTTTCTTAATAAATTTGGGGATCTATTTATTTAATTAGAAGCTAGCAGATTAGGTACCTACTAATTGGATTATCCTTTGGACCCAACTCTACGGACCTAATTGTGACTAGATGTAAAGTTTGGGGACCCAGCTAATAGGAACATGTAAATTGGATGTCTAAGTATTTTAGGGACCCATTTTCACCCCTAGTTTTAACTATTAACTAAAACTATTCAATATATTTAAGGCAAAGTCTATAATTCATTTATTGCACCGTGCAACAAAATATGTGGATTAATGATGTCTTTTAATTCACATTGTTTGAATGTGAATTAATGAAAGTAAGATATCTTTAACATGATTGAGTAAGTCAATATCAGTGAATGTACCATAGTTGGACTCTATATTTAAATAGCATTTATTCCAATTTCTTCAAAAATTTGTGTCTTCAATTCTTAAGGTTGTATTTGATTTGAACTAATTTGTGTTTTCTTCAAAAATGGAATGTTGGTGGAAAGTTCTTAAGGAAATTTTACGTCTCTTTTACAACTTTCCATTTCCCTCTTATTTTCTATCAAACTAAACACAACCTAAGGAGGCGTTCTACAACATGAATTGTTTTTCTTGTTGCTGGTTTAAAAAACAAACCAAAACCAACTTGTATGAAAACAGACTGTTTCTCAAAACAAAAACATAAGAAACATGTTCTTGGTTGTGTTTTTTGTTTTCAAAACTGAAACCAAAAACAGGTTCTTGAATTTGGTTTAAAAAACATGTTTTCATTTGATTACTCAATATCATGTTCTATAAATCATGGTTTTTAAAACCGATCCAGAGACTGAACCGGTTGGGTCCGGTTACTGGGTCGAATGGTCCGATCGTTCGAACCAAACGGTCAGCCTGTTCTGACAAAAAAATAAAAACTGATCAAAACAGTTCGAACGGTTAACTGCCCGGGTCAGTGGTTTGCTGACCAAAATCAACAGTTTTTTGAGAAATCCCGGTTTTGGGGAAAAACGGAACTGGTCACTTGACCAATTCCCGGTTTTCCGGTCCGACCATCCGATTTGGTCCAGTTTTGAAAACCATGCCATAAGCCATATAATTTCTATACTAGAAAAATTGTTTTTGTTTTAAAACTCAATATTTTGTTGGTTCCAAAAACATGTATTTGTTTTCAAATAAATCATGTAAATCATATAAATAAGTTGTTTTTGTTTCATGTTTTCAAAAACCCAATATTTCGAACCAGACAATGAATGTTTTTGGAATTGCCACATCATAAAAAAAACATGTTTTTGAACTCTATTTTTGTTTTCAAAGGGAAAAATAAGTTGGTTTTGTTTAAAAAAGTAGTACATGTTTTTGGAACCAACAAAATATTGGTTTTTAAAACAAAAGCAAATTTTTTAGTATAGAAATTATATGATTTATGGAACATAAAGTTGAATAATCAGATGAAAACATGTTTTTAAAACCAGATACAAAAACATATTTTTGATTTCAGTTTTAAAAATAGAAAACAAACACACAACCAAGAACTTTTTTTTTTGTGTTTTTGTTTTGAAAAACAATCTGTTTTCAAACCAGATGGTTTTGATTTGTTTTTGGATCTAGCAACAAGAAACATTTTGGGGTGAAATACTCCCCCCCCAATAAATATACAATCTTAAAAGAATGGAGAGTTGTTTGTTGTATCTTTCATTTTGAGGCCACATTAGTCTCCTTATTCAATGCATTATTCATCACCAAATCAGATCATTTTTTTTTTCTTTTCAACAATAATCAAACAAGAGAACACTGTCGTTCTCTGCTAGGCAGGGGTAATTGGACGGGATTTGGTCCAATCCGATGAATACTTTGAATCATTTTGGACCGGTCCAATTCAATGTCTAAATCATCCAATCTGTTCAAATTGGTTTTAATTTAGATTGGTTCCCACCTAAACCTGGTCCATTGACACCTGTATTCTTATCTTCTATCATGGAACAAAAATTGGTTCAATCTGACCCAAACCAATACAAATCCATTATGGATGGACTAGGTCCAATCCAACCCAACAAATACTTCGGACCATTATGTCTGGATTAGTCCAATTCATAATGTCTTATTGGTCCATCCAATACGTTTAAATTGGTTTTGATTTGAAGGATCCAACCTAAATCTGGTCCATTGACATCCCTATTGCTAGGATAGAACAATTCCAGATTGTCAAGGTAATGCAGTATATGGATGCCAACACTAAGGACCTAAGCTCAAGAGTCTGTTCAGATCCACAACAAATCTATCTCAACCATTCATCCTCGACCCCACCCCCAAAAATAAAAGAAAATAAAAAGAAAAAAATGCATACAATAATGAATTGCATTGCCTGTATACAAAACATACATGTATAAGATCTACTAATGCAGCTTCCTCTCCTGATCACATCACCCAAAAAATAAATAAAAAAATGTTTCTCAAACTTAATCATTGGCCAAATGCTTATCATTTATTTTCTATTGGTAAGTTGTGAAAAGTTTCTTCTTGTTCTAAGAAGAGTCATGTGTGTTCTATTCTACAATACTAATTATCTGTTCCACTTTGAACCTTTATAATCTCTACTTAAGAACCAAGGCCAATCCCAGTTCCTCTTTTCTGTGGGGTGAAGTATCCTGATCCACTTGATTCTCATCTGCTACATCTTCCTCCAAATTATCTGAAATCTGTTTCAGGATGTATTTTTCCTCTTCCTTTAGCTGCCTCATTGCTTCTTCAAAGGCAGTCACCAGTTCCATGTCAAAAACAGAGCCATCATTGCATTCATTTTTGTTTGTAGGAGATGGTAAACTAAAACATCCAAATTTGGGAGTGACATATGAACCAGGAGAGAACAGTTGTCCCCCTACATCAAGCCATTCCTTTAGACTTCCCACGGATGGGAATTCAATAGCGGATTGAATTTTGAGTGTTGTTAGCCCCTTTGCCATAGCCTTTCTTCTCAAGCCCCTTTCCTTCATTGCAGTTCCTTTTTCAATGCCATCTCCAATTGATTCAATCACCTCATCAGAATTTGAGCAACTACAACTTATGAAATCATTTGTTGCTTCATTTTTTGAAATTTTAGGCTTATAAGTTTCTGCAACCCCTATCTCTTCAATAAAGCTATTTGTGTTAACTGCAGCTCCCTCGCCCTGATGGGATAAATCATTTCCATCAACTTCAATACTACTACACATTTTGGATGAAGTTTCATGAACATCTAGAAGTTTCTCCTTCGTGTTCTCTACTGAATCTTCAAACCTATTGTCCTGTGATTTCCATAGTAAATTTCTTTCTACCATTGCATCATATTCCTGTGCAGTATGAAAGCTGCTATGGTGTATGATTTCCCCATTCTCCCCATTCAACCCACATTCTTCCACATTGAAGCTGACTTCTGTAGGTGACTCACTTGCTGATGACCAATGGAAACTCTGAGACTGCTTATCTAAATTTTTTGGTCTCTCTACTCTTGGTGGTGATTGTAGCTTCTGTTGTTGTTCTTCATCATCTAAGCCTTCCATCAATTCCCATGTGTTGATCATCTCAGGATGCATAACATCAAGGGATGGTTTGATGCCTACGTTAGATTCTGAACTGAAACTTTCAGTATGGAGTCTCTTGGCTACTGCGTTGGTAGTGCAGACAAGAGCAAGGAACTGGTCCCCTCCATTCTTAGAGACGAGTATTTCTTCCAGCATGGGAAAGGCATTTGCTGTCCTATGCATTATTCTTTGGTTCACCTCTTCCTTAAAGCTTCCAGACCTAGTCAATACTTTTGAAGAAATGCAACCCATGTCTTATCACGTAATGATTTGCCACTGCACCAATCATCAAAATTTTAGTGTAATAATGTGCTTGTAACCAAAATGCAGAACATAGTGATACATGTTCCAAGTATTGGACATGATATAAACTTATTATACTCAGATACATGCACATACACTGGCACAAACAGAAATTTGACCCACCAAAATGATTCTCATGCTTATGTGGCTAAGGTTTAAAAGAACATTGCAGAAGATTTGGTTAGAATTATATGTTACATGTCAACTTTTATATTAGTTCATAACTTCATATTCAGAACCCATTAACTGGTGGAGTTATTTCAGATCTTGTATTCTGGATAGTAACTACAGTTGCCAAAGCACATATTTGCACAGGACAAGGACTCGACATAGGGTCTTAAAGATCAAGGAATACATTCCTTGATTGTAGTTGTACTAAAATAGAAAGCTAAAAAATCAAGAACAAAACAGAAGATGTGTACCAGTGAGTGAGGGAAAATGCAACCCATTTCTTCTCATGGACTGACTACAAACTAGCTTTTGCTACAACAAGGCACCAAGAGTTTCCAATGATTGGACGTGATGCTAAACTTATGATCATCAGAATTCAGAAACAAACAAGCACGCGCACACACACACACACAGAGTAGCTGCTGGGTTCAAAAGAACATTATAAAATGAGAGGGTTAAAGTGTTAAACCCATCTGATATAGTTGACTTTGGCATGAGTTCCCCTGTAATATTGCATTTACAGACAGTGATTACATAAAAGCTAGAAAAGCAAGAACTGAACAAGCTACTGCACTAGTGGAAGGAATTATAAGATATTGAAGAGAAAATTAGAAACAGATAAATGACATTTGAGATAGGTAGGGGCAATTTTGAAGTTCTTGTTTCCTTTCAAAAACTGTATATCCAATGGTGAGCTTTCTTGGTGAATGTTGCAATAATAATAATAATAATAATAATAATAATAATAATAATAATCATAGCATTATATAATGCCAACTAATCAGAGAAGGGTTACTGCTTGGCGTCATGAAAATATTAAAGAAAAAACGGAGACAGAAGAAAACGGTAGTAACACATAAATGAAACCCCACTAAATCTCTAAGAAGTAGCTTCATGGTTCATGTTATACAAGGGTTTAAATTTGTAAGATAAAAATAAAGCACCGAGTATGTAATTATTAAACACCAACCGAGGGCTGGCTCGTTGGAGTGTTACTTGGTTTGTCTAGCATTGACGCGAAACAAATCCCGCAACCAGCACTTTGGGGAAAAAGGGGTCAAATCTGAATATACAATGAGTGGTTGTATTACACAAACATAATATCCACATCAAATCAGAAGAATACCATGAAAGAAGGAAGAGGAGGAAATTGAATGGCATGAAGATACTGAAACAGAGATATCATCAGCCTTATTAATTTCACAATATGAGACCCAACTAGAATAACTAAAAACATTGATACAAACGATGACCAAGTGAAGCAAGACTAAAGACTAAACGGAACGGAATGACGGAACAGGATTCATGTGGCTAAAGGCTTAGATAGTGATGATGAAAACCAAGTGGAGAAAGAAGGTATGGGAGAGAACATATACATGACTGAAAACAGAATCATTGTTTAAAAACAAGTAAACAAACTAACAGAATAGAGCCAATTCAAGATGGAGCTAGGTCATTGTTACCTTTGGACGAAAATTTCCCAAAACTCAATCTGTAATATTATTTGTTCGGATTGAAACAAAACAAGATGGTGCTCCGTTTTCAGGTTGGAGCAGTTTCAGGGGAAGTCTTCTAGTTGGACTGCATCACCATTCACCGTTCACCATCTGCAATTTTCAAACTTCGACACTCCTATAGTCCTATTGCAATTGGACTTGCGGTATGCATAGAATAACACCACCAACATTTGCCAAAATTTCAAGTTTGCCACTTGTTGTTCATCAGCCAGCCTAAGTGGACAAAATCCCAAAATTAAATAAGAGTTTTGATTTTTATGCCCCGTTCATTTGCTGCTGGTATTCAGTGGGGTTAAGTTGATCAACCGATAAATTGATTTTTAAGCAAGAATCAGACAATGAATCGGTCAGGGGTCCGGTTTCTGGGTCGAATGGTCCGAATTGAACGATTTGACCACCTGAGTCAACAATTTATTGACCAAATCAAATAATTTTTGACAAAGTAACTGTTATGTTATGGGAAACAGAACTGGTCACGGACCATTCCCAATTTTCCTGTTCAACCATCCAATCCAATCCGGTTTTAAAAACCATACAATTAAGGTTGTTAACCCCTCCTGGAAGGTGAATAAGCAATTTATCCATGCATAATAATGCACTCTTCCTTCCACCTCTCTTTTTACTTAGATAAATTATATATCGTACAAGAACATCRAAACCTCACTTATTCGAACAAGCTTTACATAAAAACACTTGTTGGAATAAATGTATGTATTTAAATAAATAAAAACAAACAGAGCCTTAAAAAAGAAATTGAAAAGCTAGTCAATGAGCAAATGAGCAGAGGCAGGCAAAAATATAGTGGCACTTGTGAAATTTGTGCAAAAGCGAGGGTCACATGAATTAACCCGGGAGCTTGTAAATTAATTAATAGAAGGCATGCGGTGGGCGGGCGAAAAAGAAGTGGCCCATCTGATGTATATATAAATTCTTTTCCTACCAAACAAAATTAAGAAGAAGGCATATTTACTGATAAAGGGACATAAATTTCCCTGTTTGTAATTTCCATTTTACGGAAAGCGGTGGTCTATCATATGCTCTAATATTCGAATATCATTCATATGATGATGCATTTATTTACTCGCAAAGTGGTGTTTGGTAGGAAGTATTGATCAGACCAGCTCCGTTTTTTTTTACGTTTGTCACATCATTGAATTTTACTTTTTATTGGACGGACAACATTGGCAAAGGACACCATTCTTCAATGCCTGCTCAAGATTTTGGTTTATTACATATGGGCATTGATTGGAATGAGAAATTAGGTCCATCGGCCATGGGCTAATGCCATGAGATTTTAAATGACCTGGGCCTTACCTGAAGATAACAAGGTGAATGTTCCATTTTGTTTTTATAAAACAAGAAAGGGGCTACGCAGAATAGCACATCCCTAGGAATCAAAACAACTAGTAACTTTTTTAAGTAGTATTTGAAAATTTGAATTTGAATTCGAGATACCAAGTAAATGAATCGAATTCAGATAATTTAAATTGAATGAATGATCGAATTCGAATATGTTTTTTATATCGATTATTAGTCGAATCGAATTTGGATATAACATTATTCAATTCGATAAATATCCGATTTAATTACAATATTATAAATATATAAATTATATATTTATTTAACAATATTTGTGATGATTCATAAATATTGATTTCTTAAAAAGAAATATATTAATATATCATTTTATTAATAGTTCAAGTACAATGCATAATGATTTTCGGTAAAACCACTCAATATAATATTATTTTAAAAATAGTTCAAGTACAATGATCGTCTGTATGCATCGGTCACTTCATCTTACCGCTTATTACGGCTAGGGTCCCGACGTTGACCATGCCCCAAGCTACTACACAGGTAAACACGCCACTCCCTCTTGTAGTTGGCATGACCTATGCTAAACCGTCTGTGGTTCCCTTGGAGTCGGGCAATCCCAGTTCGATGACCTGGTACACTGCGTGCGGGCCATTCAGGTCCAAATGCAACAGGTCCAACACTATCAACAGTAAGTTCTCCATTAGTTCTACCAGCAACAGTATCAGCAACAATTCCCTCCACTACAGCAAAATCAGCAGTCGGTTCCACCCCGACACCCCGTAGTACAGCAGAATCAACCTCGTCTGCAAAACACTCGCTCTCCCCGCCGAGGCGAGACTTCCTAGGTTCCACTTCCTATTGGGAGCCAAGTTTCACCCCGCGGTAGGAGGGACAGACAGGTCACTCTGCCCGCTTTACAGGGCAATGTTGAAAGCAGATCGGGAGATACTCAACCCGCCAGGGCTATTTTACCTTGGCCTTCGCATCAAGAAGGTTCGCTCGCAGGTAACCAGTTTGGGGTTCTGGCCGCGAACTCAAGGCGAGGCCCTTCCATCCATGGCAGTTAGCCTCAATATCCAGAGCCACCTCACGCCAGAACAATACCTGACCACATAGAGGTCAGCAGTACTAATGCGTAGCTGATGAAGAGGTAGCAACAAAGGCATCGCAAGGCATGCCGAACCATAGCTCAGAATAGCCAGCTCGCCAGGCCCAACCAGCCAGAGCAAGTTAGCAGCAACATAGACCGCTCCTCTCCTCTCCGATTCATCCCCTGTCCTCCGAGCTCCTGGCGACCCCGATGCCGAAGGACTTCAAAATGCCTCCTCTCAACAAGTATGATGGATCTTTTGATCCAAATGACCATGTAGATTCCTTCCAGTCCAAGATGCACCTAGCTGGGGTTGACGAGTCTTGCATGTTCGTGGCTTTCTCCATCACATTCAAAGGAGTAGCTCACACATGGTACCAGAACCTCGCGCTAGGAACAATCAGAAGTTGGGCGCAGTTCGTAGAATTGTTCACCTCGCACTTCATCACCAACAAGAAGTGCCCGAGGTCCCAAGAAAATCTCCTCAACGTAGTTCAAAGAGAAGGGGAGTCTATCAGAAGCTATATCAAACGCTTCAATGACACCTGCCTACAGATCCCCGACCTAGATCCAACAGTGAGGCTCACGGCAGCGAAGAAAGGTATAACCCACAGGGAGTTCAAGTGGCATGTAGTGGCCAACAAGCCTAAAGACATCATCGAATTCCTCAAGCTCGTCGATCAATTCATCAGGACCGAGGAGGAGATGAATCAAAAGACTAAAAATCCGACAAAAAAGAGAAAAAGAGAAGGTGACAACACAAGTAATGGTGGAAATAAACGAAGAAAGAGCAAGTCCCCGACCAGGGGAGGAAACAAGTTCGGGAGCCGATCTCCTTCGCGATCTCATAAGTCAGGTTGGCGTTCCAGAACTCCGCCGGTTGAAAGGACGAGCTACACACCCCTCAACGCGAAGCGAGGAGAAATCCTTATGGCGATCAAGGACTCCTCCTATGTCAAGTGGCCACCTCGGTTGAGGGGGGACCCCGCCACTAGAAACCGGAATGTGTATTGTCATTTTCACAAAGACCACGGTCATAGTACCGAAAGTTGTAGAAATCTCCGCGACGAGATCGAAGAGCTTATCCATCGCGGATATCTAAAAAACTTTATACAAAAGAAGATAGGAACCAAGTAGATCGCCAAACAGACCGACAGAGGGATCAAAGAAGAAATGCTCCCGAGTTCAATAGCAGACAGAGTGAGCAGCCGTCAAGGCAGTTGCCAGAAGAAAGGCCGATCCGCAAAGTAATCAACATGATTACTGGCGGGTCCATCATCGCGGGCTGCACCTCGACAGCAGGTCGAGCTTCAGTTCGCGAAATAGAGAACAAGGAGCAAAATCCGCCGAAGCGACCCAGACTCGAAGACCCCATCTACTTCACGGAAGATGATGCACGTGGGATTCAATATCCTCACGATGATGCCCTGGTAATAAAGCTGAGGATAAATGACTTCGAAGTCAAGCACATCCTAGTAGATTCAGGCAATTGAGCTGACATTCTGTTCAAGGACGTCTTCAACAAGCTTCAGCTCCAAGAAAGCGATCTCAAGCCGACGGATACTCCCTTGGTAGGCTTCAACGGCGAAGAGGTCAGACCGCTAGGGTGAGTCTCAGTACCTGTAGAGGTTGGCATGTTGCCCAATATTGTACGGTCGACTCCATCCCCGTACAACGCCATAGTAGGTTGGCCCATTACGCATGCCCTACGTGCGGTAGTATCCACCTACTACTTGGGATACAACCAGATTAGGATGGACCCTGCCGATGAAGAAAAAACGGCCTTCATAACCGAGCTTGGACTGTATTGTTATAAGGTTATGCCCTTCGGACTAAAAAAACCGAGGCGACCTTTCAATGACTCGTAAATAGGATTTTTGAGCCGTTAATCGACAACAAAGTTGAATGCTATGTAGATGATATCGTTAAGACTCAATTTTCAAAATTTTTATTGGATGATTTGCAAAGTGTCTTTGGAAATTTGCATAAATACTACATGAAATTAAATCTCAACAAGTGCGTCTTCAGTGTCACCTCGGGTAAATTCCTGGGTTTCATAGTCAACTGATGTGGCATCTAAGCCAACCCCGAAAAAATAAAGAACATCTTAGATATGAAACCACCTCTAAAACTAAAGGAGGTTCAGAAACTGAACGACTGGATAGCCGCTCTGAGCCGCTTCATGTCTAAGTCGGCAGATTGTTGTCTGTATTTCTTTAAGGCCATAAAGAAAAGCAAGGACTTCAAATGGACCGCGGAGTGTCAGCTAGCCTTCGATGAGCTGAAAAAATACCTAGCTAGTATCCCAGTTCTGACCTGACCTGAGGAGGGAAATATTTTAAAGTTGTACCTCTCCACGAGTGACGAGGTAGTCAGTTCAGCACTAATAAAAGAGGTAGATCGGGTCCAACGACCCATCTACTTTGTTAGCAAGGTTTTGTAGGATGCCGAGACAAGGTATCTAGAGATTGAGAAGCTGGTGTATGCGCTAGTCATAGTAGCTCGGAAGCTTTGTCCCTACTTCAAAGCCCACACCATCGTCGTCCTCACCAATAAGCCTCTGAGGCAGATCTTGCTCAAGCCCGAGGTGTCTAGCAGACTGATGAAATGGGCTATTGAACTCAGAGAGTACGATATCCGGTACAAACCTTGGACAATGA